TATGCCTGGGGTGAACGCAAGCCGTCGCCTACCGACGCATTGGCTGATGCGGACAGCTGGGTTGCTAAAGCCCGCAATGAAAGGGGAAAACCGGAGAATTATGTCAGGGCACGCGCAGTTGCCAACCCTACTGACTCTTTCGAGGATCTTGCGGGGAGTTCCCAGGCTCGGAACGCTTGATCCACCGCGGAAGTCTGGCCGACCCGATGCATTCTTGCGTCTCGGTTTTATGCTTGTATAATGGAAAGTTTGATGTTAATGGTCAATCTGGGAGGCCCTCTCGTGTTTGTCTGGCGAGATGTTAACTCCGAGTCGACGTTCCGAGGTGGACTGGGACAGATATTCTATCTTTCTGCTTCACGTTTCTCTGTCGGTAAATTGTATCTGATGATAACGCCGCTTTAACGCTGAATCTCGATGAGTTCGCCTTCTATCAGGCGCAAGATCCGGCTTGGCTGATTATATACCGTAGCTCAATCAGTGATAGACGCTGGTCAAATTTTGTAAACATCGCTTGAATCGTACGAATCGCGTTTGATTGTCTGTACCTTTGCGTTTTCCGTACAGAGCAGTTCGATAAATGAAAGTTAATTATCTTGTAAACCCCATTTCTAGATGCACATCAACAGGAAGCGTGGAAGACGATCCCTAAACCAGTCCCTATTTCATTAGCCAACAAATCCCATACATGGTGCGGCCTATTTGCGGTTGCTCCCAATTTGTCTTGTGGGGGGGGAGAGGCAGCGTAGGTCCGAGGCATATAAAGCCAGCCCTCCTCCCACTTTTCCCTCGCTCGATCTTCTCTTTTCCCTCACAAAGGTCACCCAAGCTTTGCAGACCATCCGACGCCACAGTTCCATCATGAGTACCCGGACAACTCGAACTCGTAAGATTGAGGAATCAGAGACTGGCCCAGTGGATAGTAGAGGCGGCAGTGGTTCAAGTTCTGCCACAGGTGCAACAGAAACTCCCATCATCCTATTGATAACGAGTCGTAACTGACATCTGGACGCAGAAAACAACGATATTGACCAAGCAACCATGACCGAGAGGGTCCAGCAGCAGTCTGTTGAGTCTCGGGAAAACATCTCCCCGAGCTCTACTGGCTCAACGAGACCGACATCTCCGGTGCAGGCAACACGCACTTGAGAATAGACAGCCCACGGGGCTGTACGTTGTGAAAAAAGCGTTGCCGGGGAAGCCATCCATACACGGTGTCATTGATGGAGAAAAATGGTTGACTTGGGCCTTGCACTGTTGGCGCATGCGCAGTTTGCTCTTTTGCCATCGCGGAAGAAGCTGAAGATGGGTCAGCGTCTGATTAGCGGTAAATCCGACAGAGCATCATATCGGCTCTCCTCAGCCTTACCTTTCTCTTCTGCTTGGATGCAGTCGATATCATTTGATTCTGTACGGGACTTGGGTTTGACTGATGAACGAGATCTCGACCGACGGCGTTTGCCTGGCAGAATAAGAAGCAGCACCAGGTGCCGTGACCAGTGGCGTGACCGCCGGACCTGGCTATATGGAATACAATTGAAATATATATGCGGTAACTGAGATCAGTGCCCTGATTCAGCTCATTCAAAAGGCACAAGCATGTAAGTTCATATGCTCCTACAGGAGCAAATTCCTCCCTTGCATAAGGACCAGCCGTGGATGGCCAGACAAGCATGGATGGCCGGCCTGCATTTGCACAAGGCAGCGGGCTAGTGGTGATCGTCAAAGCAAGTGAGAGACATGGCTCAGTACTTGCTCCAGGGGCCATCTTCCAACGAAATATGCAGCAAGCTGGTTATTGGGACCGTAAGCCACGTGAGCCCATCCCTTGATTCTAGCCATGTATAGTTTCCCGGATCAGCGGTAAGGTATCAAGAATATATTCAATTGTCCAAAACAAGCGAGAATCAAACATTTGGCTTAGTGCCATGGGCCCCGTCGGGATATAGACCCGTACAAGTCACCAGTTGCAAATCGCAGTCCCTTGTTCCAGCTGTGTATAGCAATAAGGCGCCGGTGCCAAAACTATGCATCTGTGGGATCAAAGTGTCGAAGCATGGATAGCTGAGGAACAAGCCCCTGCTTCACAGCAGAGTTTCCCGGGATATATTTGATAAATATCACACGGGAGAGTTTATAGACATATTTAGATTTGACCGTCAAAGTTCAGGTTTGAGCTCTCTGCATCCGGAATTTCTAATTTTCCGGATGTTCTATTTTTGAGTAACCAATCAATTTCCCTTGATTTATATCAACTAGGAACAAACGACGCATATACAGTACAACAGAAAATCAAACAGCGCCCTGCATCAGATAGAGGAGAGTAAATACAGGCCACCAGCATGTCTCAAACCATACTCATTCTGAAACTCCCACTTTGAGCTCCGCAAAGGAAGGGAACAGAAATGTCTTTTTCGGTCAGCTGCCGCAGCTGCTTTGGCGATTGTCGTTGGTTTGGGCAAATTGAAAAGCCTCGCGATTTCCCCACGCGTCCTATGAAATATTAATAACCTGCCACCGAATAAAGAGAAGATGATTTGTACCTCGTGAAGACTGAATAAAGCGTACATCTTGATGAAGCAATGGACATAACTGAAGAGGGCCGAGACCGGGAATAAGAGGCAATCTAATGGTCGCCGGCGATAGTGGCCAGAAAGCTTGATGAACTTGGTGAAAATCATCCAAATAAGAAGCACCCCCAACGACCAAGAGTGTAGTGTGGGATTCGACATGGTCATCGTGTGGCATAACCAGATTAGGCAGGTGTCAGTTAAGAGAGCTAATTGCGATATGGTTGTGAGAAACACTGCATAAGTGCTCCATGGATGCCTCCTGGAATATTTACCAGCATTTGACGATCGAAGGAAGAGAGAAGGCTCACCACCAGACAGCCCGGTCAATAAACAAGCTGCGCAGATTACTTCGCCAGTTGCTTCTGGACCATCGCACACATTGTTTGAGGAACTTCGGACTCTCCTCTAGCGTTGTGAGAACCTCGGCATTGGGATGGGATTGGAAGTAGGTTTTGTATCCGTGAGTGACCATCCTGCGCGTCCAGGAGTTGTCATCATCTGCGTTGAGCAATTTGCCAAACCAGGCCTCCTTGACAAAAGCTTTCTTGCAAGATTGAAGGATCTTTGCGCGATAGGCAACCGTTCGGCCGGAGAGGCAGAGAAACACCTCCATCCCATATAAGTGGTTGCAGTGCAGTCGAAGTTTCTTCGCTCTAGATACAATGCGCCCAGGGAACCACCAGATGTACTGGGAGATCCTTGGGTTGTTAGGTGCCTGCACACGCTGGCATGTGGCCACACCTCCCATGAGAGGATCAAGAATCCATGGCACAAGGCATGGAGGCCACAGAACATCGCCATCTGCAAGGATAACAAACTCTGTGCAAACCCTCTTAATTGCAATTGCAATCTGATGACTTTTCTTTGGTCTAGGAACACTTGTCACTTCCATTTTGGATCTGCGATTCTGCATTGATGTTGCTATCAACTCAGCTTTCTGTCGATTTTCATCAATGGTTGACAGTATGATCTGTTGAGGTTCATTCTTCAGAATTGACTCCAGAGTGTTAACCAACTGTTCTCCCGAGCCTTCTAGGGTAGGTATGATAACTGCAACGTTGTTGGCAGTAAAAGACAGGTCATGACCCGATGGACGGATTGGTTTGTACCGGACAAATGCGATCAGATTTCTGAGGAGACGAATGTATCGATAAGCACTTTGACATCCATTAGCAAGAGTGACCATCAAGGATGTAGGGAAGCAGAACGAACAACAGCAGGCAGAATTTCACCGCTGGAGAATAACTCCGGGTGTCCGAATCCATGAAAGAGGGGGGATGGAAGAATTTCCGTGAAAGAATCGGATCAGAGGTCAGTCAGAAAAGCAGGCCCAAAGGCATATCTTTATACTTCACTGCCCTATGAGAGATCCCAATCGCGTCCCCGGTACGTCTTGCGCAGGGTCAATATTGCCACTATTTAATGGACACTACCGACTAGGGATATGATACATCTAGCTCTATTTCCTGGATGTCCAAATTGATCTAAGGCCTAGGTTCCACTGGCCTTGAAGGAAGTGGGACTTCTTATCCGGGGGTCGCGATGCTATGTTAATGGTCTATAGTGCGCCTTCTGCGATTTCCGCAAAGAACTAGAAGGTAATTGATAGGTCCAAATGTGAATTCTTCTCCTACTATTTTGCTTTTAGCTTTTGCCCATATATCACATATAATTCGCGGTATATGCGAAGTTCCTCTCTTTTTAGATCATTTCTCACCCGAGCCAGACATACTTGCAACTCATCCGTTGACCACTGAAGACCCTGAGTAAAAACCAGGAGCGAAAATGCTTCAAGTCCACCCAGAATATCCAGAAGAGCAAAATTGCCCAATTGCTTCAGTTTATTGCCTTCTTCCCATGGCCCTATTGGAATCTACTTCATTTTAGTTCTGGGTCTTCATCGGATGTACGAAGCTTGACATACCTTGAATTTTTGAATTTTGATATTGACAAAGCCAGCGTTTTTCATCCCCTGTGCGCAGGTCGTTGCTCCGCAGAAAGGTTTTTTCAGTTTATCTCGGCCCTCTATGACATGCTGTTGCCATTCAAGTGCGTGTACGGCTTTTTTATGCGTCTCGTCAACTGAGAGGAAGCCGTGCTCAAGTGATTTGAGTTCGAAGTATCCACCAGGTTTTAAATGCTCAAAAGCTCCTCTGCACAGTTCTTCACAGTTGGAGATTGAACCATCCAACTCCCGTCCATGGATGAGATCGAATTTGTACGGCAAATTCCATTCCTCGAAGTTGTCAACCTCAAAAGTGCAATTTGGTGGAACACTGGAATCAATCGTAAGCCAGGGTATATTTTGTATGGTGGGTAAACTTCTTACAAGAAAGGTTGGATTGGGCTCAAATCATTTCCTCGAACCAGCACACTGGGATAGTTGCTGCCGTGGTGATTAGCCAGACTCAAAGCGATATCCATGGACCGGCTTTGGTTTACGCACTCAGCACATTCTATCGCCCAGATACCTGTTCCCGTTCCCAAATCAAGAATATGCTGAGGGCTTTCACTTATGGGAGCGAGAAATAATTCACCCAAGGCGTCTTTGTACATGGAGAGAATGGGTTAAACACGAACAGACTCGACGAACTTACAAGGCTTGTGGTAGGGCTGAGGGATACGATGACCCGACAAAGCCAGGCGATTGATACCCTAAAGATGGACTGCGAAGAGCTGAAAGCAGGCCAACAAATACTACAGGCACAAAATTCGGATCTTAAAGAAGAGATAACTACCTTGAAAACTCGAATCAACCAACCGTCGTGGGCATCGATCGCCGCCATGGGTGCGGGTGAACACCCCCCCAACCCCACACCACCCCCGCCCTCCAAGCCAAAGAACAGGGACCAGAAGGACGCGCCACTATGCATCCGGATCAGCACAGTGATCACACCTACGCCTAGCGACAAGACGGAAGACTCCCTCACAAGATACCTGCCAGCAGAAGAAGTCAAAAACCGAGTGGTAAAGGCACTGCGCAAGAACAAGCCAACAGAAGCTGCTGAAATCGTCGGAATAGGAACAACGAAAACTGGATACATTGTCCGATTCAAGGACTAAGCCTCGAAGGAAGCAGCCAACAAGAATAGCGAATGGTTAAGGGACCTGGGCGACCAGACAAAAGTGGTCAGACCACGGTTCGGGATCGTGGTACACCGCACGCCGACCCGCGAGATTAACCTGACAGACGATAAGGCCGGAAGCATCGCCAAAATAACGGAAGAAAATGAGCTCACAGATAAAGGATTCAAAATTGTGGATATTGCATGGCTCAAGAGAAGGGACTCCGACCTGGGAGCGTCTGCGTCGCTTGGAATCTGGTTCGATAACCTAGAAGCCATTCAGTGATGTATGGCTCTGCCTCCAAAAGATATGGCTTTAAACACCATGGGCCTGGGGATTTTAGAAGAAATTCATGCTGTTCCCTCATAATTTAGCAAGTTATTCAGCTGTGGTGAAAATTTTATAGAATCTTACCTGTAATAATGTATCACTAGATGCAGATTCTGAATAAAGTCCTTTAACTCTGCTGATGCACTCTCTGGTTGAAATTGATGCTCTGAAGGATAGGGGATATTTCCCCTAGGGATGACATTTGGCATGACCAGGCCATTGATGCTCTGAAGGATAGGGATATTTTCCCTAGGGATGACATTTGGCATGACCAGCCCATTGATGCTCTGACGGATAGGGGATATTTCCCCTATGGATGACATTTGGCATGACCATTGATGCTCTGAAGGAAAAGCCGGCATGAATGATAGGGCCAGAGGATGAGCTGCATTTAGATTTTCCTTCATTTTGCTTTCGTGGATAAAGCCCCTATGGGGTTGCCAAACCGCACTCGTGGGGTGGTGTATCACAAAATGACAAGCCTCGATGCAGGTCGCGCCTCAGATATTGCTTCATGGCTTCGCCTCTGTGCTCCATGGATGTCTCGACTCTAAGCGAAAACACCAACAGGCGCACTTCTTGACTGGCACACATGGTTGGGTTAAGTTCGGCCGTCCTCGTGCATGCCACCCCCATGTTCCTTGTCCCCGGGTTTAGCGGCTTGTCGATTCGAGCCAGGGGGAAAAGGGGGGCTGAATAGGTTGACTGGCTGATATTCGCTGGACGAAAGCCCATGTTGGCATGGGGGGGAGGGGGGGGGAGATGGGGGGGCAGGAGCACTTCTGCATTGGTCCACCCCATCAATGCAACATTTCCCGGTTCAGCGGCTTCTTCGGGTGGATGATTGGCGATCCACGCAGCATGCATCTCAGCTACTGTTTTTCCCACCCTCCTTGATTAGGCTTGACCTATATTTGTTCGCAGGCTGGGGTTGAACGTGGGATATATCATTGACGTCAAGTGCCTCCCGGAACGAGATTGAGGGGAGAAGAGCATTCCATCATCTCATCTCGCAACATGGCTACCTTCACGTACGATATCACCTCCCCTGGACCTGCCGACGGTTCTCCCTCACCTCAGCTAAACACAGTGCACCTCCTGGAAGCGTACACCCCTGATCCTTGGTCAGACGAAAAGCCCCAGCACCTCCTTCCAATGCCCATGCCCATGCTCGTGCCCCTCTTCTCTGCGTCTGGCGACCTCTCTAAGGATGCAGCAAGTGAGGTATTTGCTGATTTTTCTGCCCTGCCATCCACCGTCTCTGGTCTCGATGAGATTAACTGGGACGAATGGATCCTGTTCGACCCCCCCCCAGTCGATGTTCCCCCACCGTCACTCCAACTGTCGGATTTCTCTGACGACCCCATCGAGGGCCCAAGCCTGAACGACGTTGCTGATGACCCACCCAATCAACGAGAGCCAACCCCTTCCCTGGCCCCAGAAGATCATGAAGGCAACACATCGAAGGAGCCGTTGAATTACTCCGATGGTTCCATCGAGGCTGACCCACGCCTGGGCGAGGAACGCCACGTCCAAGCCCACCGATCGGAGCAAGTTACCCCCCTGGTGTCCGACTGTTGGGAAGGTGATGCGTTGGGGGAGACGCTGGATAAGCAGGAATACATTATCTTGCCCCTTTCTCAGGTGAAGATTCTGAAGCTGGTGTATAAGCGAGACGGGGATGAGATGTACCAGATAGTAGGATGGATAGATTTACAAGAAACACGCAGATATGGCATACAAGGAAAGCCGTGGAAGTACTCAGGTTCTGCTGGTAAGGCTCAGCACCTGCTCCGTGAAAAACATTTCTCACACCTCACTCACTCACTCTCGCAGAAGACCCAATCATCATCGATGAGCCAATGAGTCCCACCAACTTGCCTTGTGGTTCTGATCAGTTTGTCGCCATTCCATCCCTTCAACGGAATATAGAGAGGGTTCCAGAGGGCTACGAGATTTATGCCAAGATGACATTGGACGATTTGCAGGAGCATGGAGGGTTGGGACTGCTGGCAGCCTACTGGAATAACGAACGTCGTCGAACGAGGTCACATGGATTATGTCAGCATTGATTCAAGATGGCCCAATCTCACGAAACCTTTCTATTTCTAGTTAGTTAGCTGCTTGGATTTATGCAACAATTGAAGTCTCATTCTCTTCATTCTCCTCTTTCGTTTTCTATGTTTGGTTTCCACACTTCGTTTCACTTTACTATTTCTTCTTCATTATATCTATCCTGGCCAGCACACACATTTCCAGAACTTGGAAATTCCACTTCAGATACTATTGCCCCAGACCTCTCTCCCTCCTGATGCTCACGAACCCGCTTGAAGAACATACTTTGACCTCAGCGATGTCGAACGCGAATCATGGCAAAAGCATTCTGCCTTTCTACTGCTGAGACGGCCGTAAGCCGGAGCGATCAAGGAGATTTGGATTGGATGCAGGTTAACAAGAGAAGAGCTGTGCCTCGGAAGTCCAGAAGGGACGGCAAAGGGAAAATGGATTCGTTAGCATGCTTGATATTGTAGCTGTGCAAAGCTTGCGTGGCCTTGAGTGTGGTGTGTTGCACATATGATAAAATAAAAAGGAATGGAAAAACGGATGGAACAATGAAAACTCTTTGGCGCTATAAATCTACATGTATTTCTGACAAGATATTAGTTTTGGGGTTATTTTTGTATCAGCTGTCCCGAAGTAGTAAATGCTCGGTTTATTGAGCCAACAGATTTGAACAGTTTCAGATATGAAGCCAACCTGGATGGCCTTACGCGGCATACATCTTGCAAAGAAGCGTGGCCTCGGCATGACTAAGCTACAACTTGAAGCGGCTGTGTTTATTTATCTCTGGAGGATAACGTTCGTTGTTATTACTAAACTAACTACGCGAGAGCAATACAATATGTTGGGGGGCACGTGATAGGGTAGCCGTAGTACCCACTAACAATCTCTTATATCACCTGACTCTATCACTATTCCCACTATTCCAAGGCATCCCTCCGTTCCATACCACGAACGCGGGAGAAGCGATCGGGGGTGTGTCACTCAATGGCACTTTCTCGGTTCGCCTTGCGGATTGAAAAAAAAGTGATTTGTGAAAAGAATTGTGTGGACTGCCATGGGAATTTCCCTCGCCCCGCGGACAATGGATTGAAAGCTACTCAAAGTGCGCCAATTAAAATTCCTTAAAAATACTTTTTGCCTTCTGGCAAAGGCAAGCTTGAGGGAGACCACACTTTTTCTCAGTATGCCACCAATTCTTGGACACTTTATAGTTCCTGTGGCATTTTTGATTCCTGAAATGTTTTTTAAACCTAAGAGAGGTCTTATTCCTAGGACACTTCTCAACCCTAAGGAGAACCACGCGTTAAACCTATAATGTCATGATTCCGCCGATAGCTTGAGGCTTAATGCCCAGTGTTGGGCCTCAAGTAGTTTTCAGAATCATGACATTATAGATTTAAAGCGTGGTTCCCCCCAGGCTTAAAAAGGATTCTGAGAACTAAAAAAGCCCTAGAATTTTAAAACCTCTCAAGAATCATGACATTCGGGTTTAAAAGTGTGGTCCGCCTCAGAATTAAAGAGCGTTCTAAGAATGTGATCTCTCTCAGGTTCAAACAGTCTTCTGAGAACTAAAAATGCCTTGAGATTATAGAATGTCTCAAAAATCATGACATCTGATTTAACGTGTGGTCTCCCTCAAGCTTAAGGGGCATTCTGAGAACTAAAGATGCCTTGAAATTCTGTCATGCCGCAAGAACGCTGATTTCTGAGCTTGTGGCAGCTCAATCCCTGGGAAATCATATGTCCCTGGGAGCTACACCAAAGTCGTGGCCAATCAAACACAGTCAGCAGAAGAAGAATGCCGTAAGAAGGCAAAATGCCCTGGGGATATGTAAATTTATTGTTGTGGAGCACGGAAAGAAAACACCCCAGTGAAAGATTTAGTTGTAAATGCCAGTACTTTGGGGAGAAATGGCCCAAGAACAACAAATAAAGATCAGAAAATTCCAAGTTTACATAAAATTTAATTGATGCCCTGAGAGATACAAATATTGGTATCTATAGTCATAATTTTAACATATAGATGTAAAACAGGAATTTGCTTCTTGTTTCTTGCAGTTGCTTTGTTTTCTTTGCTAAACATCAATATCGTTAAGGGTTTAGATAACGGTGTCTAACCGGTCACTCTTCCGCAAAGGGAGCGGAAACCGCCAGACGGCAAGCCCATTGAGGTTAACCATTTTGTGGTCTGACAAAAAACCATTCTCTGACAGAGATGCGCAGGGCCAGAAAGACACCCTACTTTGATTTACTTTTAATCACTATCACCGTTGACCTTGGAACTCAGTTAGACTCTGCACCTACCTTTAGTAATCCATCTCTGGTTGCCGTATACTTTCATCTCCCATGCTTCAATAACGTCGTTGCCGCTTTCCCACGGTTCTCGTGGTTCTCTCCTTGAACAGTGTCTCGGTCCAGTATCATTTTGTGTTGGTTAACATACTTCAGTATAAGTTTGCTGCTCCATTTTGCGCTCCCCATTCACCCTCCCTCACGCCCCCGATCTTCACTCACCCATGCTCACTTTCACTCACCCCCGAGTCCACCTGGACCTTCCATAAAGCTGCCCGTCCTCCCCCAGAGTCCTATGTTAGCCTCTTTTTCTACTCTCACTACAGTGGTTTCTGTGGCATCTGCCAATAGGCTAAAGATGTTTGCAAGTTTTAACCAACTTTCATATTATTAAAA